AAATATAAAATATTCATGACATATAAAATATTTTCTTCTTTCTCAATCACATAACACATGCTAAGCCAATTAAACGGGTTTGATTGACATCCATAATCACTCCAAATTTTAGCATAAAAATCATCATAAGGTCGCAAATAATCATTAAAACATATACATTAACCATATTATTTAATATAAATTTTCACGTATGTAATTTAGGAAAGACTAATAAACACTCTTCAACATCAAACAATAAACATACCCAACACATTAACATGAGCAGCATGATAGGGAACCAAATACAACAACAACCAATTAATCAAGCACTAGCACCTCAAATTCTTGTTCAAATAATATTACAACGTCCTTTTAGTGGAAATAGTAGTATAAATAAACATGAGGGATTTTTGCTATAATAATCTCCAATTAAAACAAAATACTGAAACTAAAGAGCATGCAAAGGACCAAATACCAATTTCCCACTCACATATGTAAACAGATACACACAAAGTGAATTACTAAAAAGCTAAGCACATTTGTATAAAATTCTATCAAAACTAAAATTCCATTTCAGCTAACAACACATTCCAACCTCCTTTATAGATAACTGAACTCAATTCAGTTACAAACCTTTAAGATAACTGAACTCAATTCAGTTACAAACCTTTAAGGAGAATAATTATATATTTTCATGAAAGGCTTAAATATAAGGTCCTAACATTTAAACAAAGGTACGAGCACATTTCTATATGCCAGCTAGCACTTTGTGGATCAAAACAGAATTATGTTCAAAATACTAACATCATTATTCAAATGAACAGAAATTGGAATGACAAAATAATGGATAAAATGATAGGCATGGACTTAGCTCGGTTACAGCAATATGGCTCCAAATTTAAACGATAATATATACAACAAGAAGGCTTGATTAACAATGAGGGTTCCAACAATTCACAACAAAATACCTGAAACACAAAGGCAACAAGCGAGGACACAAACCGAAAATAATTTTGACTAACAAACGAAAATCGATACAACGTAAGAACCAGCGAACTAATCACAAGCACGCAAGAATAAACGGGAAAGGTTCAACCGATTACCTTTCTTTGGGAAAACTAGACGCTCGGTTAGGAACGAACGAAATGAATGAACCAAAACTCGACCACGGCTCGGCTTACGGCTACTGCGGTTTCTCGTCGTCTTGGTTGCTGTTCGCTGCTCGATACATGAAGTGCGGCTGCTGCTTGGTGAAACGGTGGTCGGAGTTGTCGTGCTGAGGACGTAGATTAGTGGCTACAAAGTTTTTTTTTTTTTAATGGTTGTTGGAGTATTTATGTCGAGAGGAAAAATATAGAGAGGATTGATGTGAGTTTGGTAGAAGAGATGCAAGTTCTGAAATCTCTAAAGCACAAAATGAATCAGAAAGGCGTGAGGGAATGACCATTTAAAGGGCAAGAGATGATCCGAAATTAAGGACATATAGAGTGGTAATAAAGAATTATTATTACCATAATTATGGGCTATCAAGGCTTGATATAAATCTCTAAAAACGGTCAGAAAAAAAACTTCCAAGGCTGGTTTAAAGTCTTAATATGATGCTAGAGGAGATTTAAATTTGAACAAGTGAAATAAAATCTCTCTTTAACTTTAAATCAAAATTGGGTCAGGTCTTTACTAGCTATTTGGAGTGGCTTTAAGGCTATTAAGGCCGAATGGTAGGATTATCAAAGAGGCCAAAAATAAAATTCCAAGGTTGGATTGAAATGGCTCGATCGAAAGTGAATTAAAACGGATTAAGTTCTGTTTACGCGATTAAACCAAAAATCACTGAATAATTTAAAAATAATATACAATCCGGCTCGATATTAATATTGAATTTAATAGTACAACTAGACAATTACGAGCACATAATCGAAAAAAAAATCGAGCACGAATAATATAAAAATTGGACATCATAAAATAATTAATAATTCTAAATAAAATATAACGATTAAATATCTCAAATAAATCCGAAACAAATGGGGCG